CGTGTGCGGTTCAGGTATTTTTCGGAAGGCTTATATGTTAAAAACTAATAAAAATAAGAACTTTTGCCTTAAAAATTAATTTGAGTTGACTTCGATCAACGGTTTGAGTAATCGGACCTAATTGACGGTGCTAGTGGGTTCGTATCGTAATTTGGAACCTGGGTGTATGCCCGAAATCGAATTCTGAGGTCCCTAGCTCGAGATATGAATTTTTGTTGAAAATTAAAAGTTTGAAAGTTTAATGATTTTTAAGAATTGACTGATGTTTGGCCTTGTTGATACCGGGTCCGTATTTTGGTTCTGGAGCCCGGTACATGTTCATTATTATATTTATGACTTGTCTGTGAAATTTGGTGAGAAACAGAGTGGGTTTGACGTGATTCGGACGTCCGCTTGTGAAAATAGGAGTTTTAAAGTTTTCTTGAAAATTTTATTTGATTTGGTGCTCAATTCTTAGTTCTAGGTGTTATTTTGGCAATTTGATCGCGCGAGCAAGTTTGTATGATGTTTTAGGACTTGTGTGCATATTTGGTTTGGAGCCCCGAGGGCTCGGGTGAATTTCGGATAGGCTACGGAGTGAATTTGACTTGGAAAATTTGCTGGTGTTTCAGATTTTGATGCAGGCCTCTGATCTCGCATGTGAAATCAGACACCGCATCTGCGACCCCTGAGGGGTTCACATTTGTGAGATACTCATCGCAAATGCGAAGAGTAGCTGGGCCACACAGATTTCGCATTTGCGAAATAGTCTTCGCATTTGCGAAGCGAGTCTGGGGAAGGGAAGGATCGCAAATGCAATCACAAGGTCGCAATTGCGAACTAATCTTCGCATTTGCGAAGAAGGCAGAGGTATGAGGGGCTTCGCATGTCGCAAATGCGACATCTACAATTGGGTAAATATGACTTAGACGGGATCTTTGATTCATTCTTCAAATTTTCAAACTCAAGAACCCTAGAGATTTTTCAAAGAACTTTTCTTCCCAAATCATTGGTAAGTGATTCTAAACTAGTTTCTTTCAATCTTTCACTACTTTTCCTAATATTTAAACCTAAAATCTAGAGGTGGAAATTGGGGGGTTTTTGGTAGAATTAGGGATTTTTGAAAAATAGGGATTTAGACCTCAAATTGAGGTCAGATTCCAAAATAAATTACATAACCGGGCTCGGGGGTGAATGGGTAATCGGGTTATGGTCCGAATTTCGGGTTTGGACCAAGCAGTCCCGGGTGTTGAATTTTGTTGATTTTTTTATGAATGACCTAAATTGAATTCTTTACAATTGTGGGTGGTTCCTAAGGCTTAATTTGAATCATTTGGTTGGTAATTTGCTAGATATTGTTGGTTCGGAGGCGTGTTTGAAAGGCAATGCTGTGGTTGAGCTTTGACTGGTCTTTGGAGCGAGGTAAGTATTGTGTCTAACCTTAACTTGAGGGAATTAGGAACCCTCGGACTATGTGCTATGTGATTCTCATGTAAGCGGCGTATATGCGAGGTGACGAGTGCTTATACGCCGCCGAATTATCTGTTTTCCCTGATTTTCCGCGTTTCCTTGATTATTTCTTTCCCTTCTTTAACTGTTATGTGCTCTAAATGCTTTCCATGCTTAACTGCTACCTATTAATCAATATCTTCTCCTGTTAATGATGTTAGCTCTTTTCATAGTTTCATGATTCTCTGCTATTTGCTTAAATTGACTTGCTTGCACCTTCTAATTGTTAATTGCGGGATTGGTCTCGCTGTGTGGTATTACTTGTGTAGATTCTTATATGGTACAAGGTTTCCTTTTTGGTTCAGTTTGATATTTATTTATCGTAAAGGTTTTGTTGTCCGAACGGTTGTTTCGACTGTGTACATTGAGTGTTTGGTACTGCTATGATGGGATCAGGCTGCACGTCGCAACATGTGTAATAATGTGGATTGATATGGTGGAATAAGGGTGAATTCGTACTGTACGGTGGGATCGGGTTGCACGCCGCAACAAGTGGAATAACGGTGGATCGATATGGTAAAATAAGAGTGAATTATGATACTAATATTGATACATGGTGGGATCAAGTTACGCGCTTAGCATTTATATGTTATTTACTATTGTTGATATTATTACGGTGAAATAAGGAAGGATTTAGTATTGTTTGGTGGGATCGGGTTGTGCGCCGCAACAACCTATATGTTTCCATTTCTTGAGCTGTGTTGGTTTCCGGTGTTCTTAGTTGAACTGTTAAGGATTGGTAAATTCTGGACGACACTAGTTTATTTCTCGAGGCTGTCGTTATTACTTTCAGTTGACTGTTTTACCTTGTCCTGTATTTCTATTTTCTGTCTTTATTATATACTGCGTACATGTTATAGTGTAAGACCCGCCTTAGCCTCGTCACTACTTCGTCGAGGTTAGGCTCAACACTTATAGAGTACATGGGTCGCTTGTACTCATACTACACTCAGCACTTCTTGTGCAGATTTTGGAGTCGGTCCCAAAGGCGATTATTAGCGTGTTCGGATTGGACAGTTGAAGAGACTTGAGGTACGGCTGTTCCGCGCCCGCAGCTCCTGGAGTCCCCTTCCTCTTTCTATTTAGCTGTGTATTTTTATTCAAATATCTTTGTATTTATTTCAAACCCTTCTATGTACTACTCTAGAAGCTCGTGCACTTGTGTCACCGGGTTCAGGGATTTATAGCAGCTGTTTTACGGTTTTAGCTTTCACATTTATATTTGGATTATTGCAGTTAAATCAGTTCTTCTTCGTTACTTAAATTTAAATTGTTAAAAAGGATAAATTGTTCTACGTTGGTTTGCCTAGCAAGTGAAATGTTAGGAGCCATCACGGTCCCGACGGTGGGAACTCCGGGTCGTGACAGTCTCATTCACTTCAGGGAATGATAAGAACCAGTAGGCCGGCTTTCATGTTTTTTTATTAATAGCCCATTATGTTGCTCGGCAACAAGAAGATGTGAAATAAGTTCAGAATACTTTTTGAATCCCAACTCTCGATATTGCTGCTGCAGGAGCATATTCAAGGCATGAAAAATGGTAAAAGTTTCTCCAACATATCATGATCAATAATATTATCACCACATAATTTCTATTGGGAAATAATTCTGAACATAGCGGAATTATACTCACTAATAGATTTAAAATCTTGTAGCCTTAAATGAGTCCAATCATAACGTGCCTGTGGAAGAACAACCATCTTCAGGTGGTCATATCTATCTTTCAAATTATTCCACAATATGACTTAGTTTTTGACAGTAAGATATTCAATTTTCAAGCCCTCATCAAGTTGATTGTGCAGGAATATCATTGCTTTGGCACGGTCTTGATTTGATGCTTGATTTTAATCATTGATGGTGTCTGCTAGACCCATCGCATCAGGATAAATTTCAGCATCAAGCACCCAAGACATGTAGCTTTTGCCCGATATATTCAGGGCTACAAATTCAAGTTTAGAAAGATTTGACATATTTAGACAAAGAAAGTTCGTACCTTTGATACTTTCAAAATATTTGCTCAAGATGGCAGAGTCTCGTGTTGATAACGTGTTATAAAATAATGACTATAAAGTAAATAAACCAAAGACAAGTATAGAGAGAAACTGATATATTATTCAACTTCAAACTGATGTACATAATGAACTGAAATCTCCTCTATTTATAGAAGAAAGGAAGCTGCTGTGTAAGCTGCTTGTAAGCTCCTACTGCAAGCTGCTGTGTAAGCTTCTTGTAAGTTGTTATTGTACTAGCTATAGATAATCTTCTACATGAGGTAATATTTATCCATAACAAAGTGCCAAAATGATAAGCTTCTTCGGGAGGCTTATTTCTAATATAGTACTAAATAGATAAACATATTTACGGCGGAGTCTAATAATATGAATAAACTTTTTCAGAAAGCTTACTTACAATGGAGTATTAAATAAACATCCATAATATAATATATTTATAATAATAACTTCATTCTAATAAAGTAAAAAAAATGAAATTGTATCCTTTTGTAAGCACTATCATCATACTCGAATTGGGAAGTGGCAAACTGTAGCCGAAACTTTTGTCTTAGCTTTTGGATTATTATATACCGTTTAAGTACGTCGAAGGCTCATTTTAGATTGGAAAGGTTAGCCATAAAATTTGGGAGCTTTTTCCAAATTTTATTTTTAAATATTTATTTGCTTATAGATTTGAACTATTTTGCGGCAGATTTTGAAAATAAAATCTTCAAATCCCAAAAACAGCTCTAGAGCAGTATTTAAAATTTTCTACTCTCAAAACTTCAAATTCTTTTCAAGTAAAATACATGTTCAAATACCATTTCAACTTTCTAAACTCATTTGTTTTATCTCATTTTTAAAAACTCATTTTTTTTAAGTTTCAACCAAATCTATGTACAAACGTTAGCGAAAAATCTACACTTTTGCATATTTGGAAATTTAACATCTTATTATGAAGAAAGACAAGTGGAATCATTTTGAAAATAATTTTATGAATACCATATCTGGTTCTTGTATTTTGATTAACGTTATACCCTCTTTTTTGGCACATTAGAATGCCTTCATTTGACAAGATACACATATATATGGAGTTGGAGGGAATGAAGAGTATAGTTCTTTTGAAATTTCCTCTTTCTCTTCTACTGTCTATATTTGTGTGTATTTTTACATGTTTACATGGTGGTATGCGTGATGTACCAACAATTTATTTGATTGGCCATCTTGTTAGCCCCTTTTACAGTCTAAAGATAAATGATAGGTAAGGTCAATATTACATAAAACACAAAGAATGTTTTTCTTTCCTTTTAATAGAAGAGTTATGAGGTACTTGTCGAAATAGATGGGAACTAGATTGCGGTAAATGGTATCCTTCTTTGACATAAATGTCAGCTCCTTAATGGGGAATGGGGATGAATAGCATTACATAACACAAAATTTGAAGAGAGAATTTATATATAGAAATAAAAATGATTTATCATGAATTAGACTAGTTTCTCACATAGGATTGTTCTATAGATATAATAAAAGGATCTTTTTCAAGTTGAAACGAACATATATTTACATTTATTTTCCTATTAGATTTCAAAAAATTATATACATGTGTTTTTCAACATTCGCAAACCCTAGCTCTATCTACATATCATCAGTTTACTTATGGGGGTCGACGCCAAAGAGAGATGGTTATTGAAAAAAAAAATGTTGTAACTTAAAGCAAATTGCAGCAAAAATAGCAATACTCCAATACTTATGTTCTTGGCATCGCCTAAAAGATGTAGGATTTGGGACATTTGATAAAACTGGAACGTTAAAAGTGGATGGCCTAAAAAGTTGGGTTAAATATATTGAATTTGGTCTCAACTTCGAAGAGATGATGCACTTTTGGCCAACTCACGAAGTGGTTTGTCTGTGGACCGAATCAAGTTATACACAAATGCTCCGGCTAGTGTTCCGATGATTGGACCAACTACATATACCCAAAGACCTGTATAAACATGCTTCACTATTGCTGGACCAATGCTTCTTGCTGGATTCATTGATGCTCCTGAAATTGGCCTGCATTTATAACTTGATTTGATTACATTTTAGACAGAGAAATTAAAGGTTAAAAAATTTACTAAATGAAGCAAGTCATACCCTGCTACAAACACATTCAAAGTTATGGTCATTCCTACTGCTATTCCAGCAACCTGTCCAATCTGCAAGAGTAAAACAAGGTAAATAAAAAAAAGGAAATCATTGTTTTTTCCAGAAAGAAAAGATATATACTAATTAACTTACTATGAATTGTAAATTAAAAAAGAAGAAGCTTACTGCTCTATCATCTGTAGCAACGCCAGAAATGACAAACATGAGAAGGAAAGAAATGATGATTTCGATAGCAAGTGATTGGCCATTAGATCCAACTGGAACAGTACCAAAATAAGCTTGAGGAGTTACGTCAAACAATAGAGCCAGAGTTCCACTGGCCAAAATCGAACCCATTAGTTGAGCTATTATGTACAAAGGTACCTGCATTACATATTAGAGTTGTATTTTAACATCATTTGCAAAACACGTTTTAATTGTTGATTTGATGCCTTTTAATCGAGAAAGATTTGATGCCTTATTTTTTTTTAAAACAAATGATTATCACAGATGATATATTATCCTACATTCTTAGACTTAGTGATGCTGAAACCTGAAAGGTTAACGATTTGATAAATCCTTCTTTTTAGAAAAATATTTACCGCTGCTTATTCTATCCTTCAAATATCCGATAGCCTCGAATAATATGCTGTTTATGGATCTTATATTTACGAAAAAATCTCTCCTTATTGTGAAAGTTACTCATAGTGTAATTTTAATACTAATACTAGCTAGTAGTAAGATACCAAATTACAATTTTAATTCTTATAATTTACTAGGATAACTTATATGCACCAACTTTTAGAATACCATATAATTTAATATGGTGCATGTAGCTGATAATTAACAGTGTAATTTACAATCTTAGTAACTAATACAATGAAAAAAACCTTATGTTGCGTCGAACTATCCAAAACGCTACCGCACCCGTATTGAATCTTTCAAAAAGACACTACTTTTGGAAGATCTGACACACACTCCGAAATTTTCAAAGAGTTCGAGCAACATAAAAAAACAGTACATACTTGTTTCCACGGGAAGCGGCCGAAGATGCTGAAAGTAATAGTGACAGCAGGATTAAAATGAGCTCCTGATATATGTCCCACGGTATAAACCATCACCATCACGATTAGTCCCCATGTCACACATATCCCAGGAAACGTAACGCTCCCATAGATCTTATTCACTGCAACTGATCCACACCCTGCAAATATTACAAAGTACGTCCCTATAGCCTCCGCTATCAACTGCAAAGTCAAACACAACCCGATCCATCAAATTAAATAAAATTAATTATTTGATACTGGCTCAGTCATGGCATTACTTATGCCTAATTAATTTTACCTTTTGTGCGATGACAACGACAGAAACGGATGAACAAAATCCGACATTGGAATCGGACTGGGAGGCTGCATGGATATTGCCTTCTTCCATCTGGGAGATTTCTTCTTCTCGATTGCCATCCTTCTTTGCCATTGTTCTTAATTGAAAGAGTTGATAAGTTAGGAAAATATAAGGGTTTTTTTTTTTCTTCAGGATGTCGCCAAAAGGCTTATTTCATAATAATAATACTTAGAGCTAAATATGATATATAGGACAGGAAGGATAATGATAGGTTTTGCTTTAGATTACCTAAATAAGGATAAGATCCATAGTTGGAGAGTTTTTTGGAGGGTGGAGTTTTACAAAATGCTGACAAATCCCGTATTTTATAGTTATCTAGTTAATAGTGCAAATTCAAAGGGATATTACGGATTGGAGTTTGCAGCTTATTAATATTGAAACTCCATCCTGCACTATCGAGCAAAACTCCTCCCCTCTACTCAGTACGATCTCTTCCCCAACTACAAATACATTCTCAACTGATTAAAAAGGAAAGAAAAGATATGTAGGATTTTTACGGTTTATTAGGAATATCGTGGAGAACGTTGAATGTTTCAAACTTTGAATCAGTATAATACTATTTTTTCCGTAAATATCTGAAATTTTGCATGGTTGTTGTATACGGGTAAAATAGGGCTTGCCCGACTTTGCCAGTTAATCGAGACCGGGGAATCACGTCGATTTTGCCCGATTTTGCACAACTAGCTCGAGGGTGTACTAGCTCGAGGGCTCTGTCCAAACATTGGTTTGCTTTACATTATTGTCAATTTCCATCACTTATCTTTACGTTTATCAATCGGTATTAGGTGAATCACGTATCCTTAAAACCATATTATAAGTTTAATTGTTATCCAGTTTTTAGGGTAAACAGTTTGGCGCCCACCGTGAGGCTAAGGATAATAGTGATTGCCTGGTATTAATTCTCGTAACACACACTACTTTACGTTTGTTCTTTTGAGCATCTTTGATTTCAGGGTCAACATGTCTAACTCGCAAGCAGTACCCACTCATGCCGATGACGGCCTCGGTTTCTACAAAGAAAACGGTAATGTAGCCGCCCCAGGAATCGAAGTGCCTCAAGCTGTCCACGAGGGAGTACCTATCGCAGACCCCGTCAATGTCAGTTCGCATATCACCCTAAATGCAAATCTGGGCGTCGACCCTGGAAATAGTATCCGTAGAAATGCCCGAGCAGCCGATCAGAACGCACAGAGCGGTGAAGAAGGCGGAATTAGACTTGGAGTGATATTCGAAATGCTGCAGACTCAGCAAGCTGCTATAGCACAACTCCAAAATCAGAATCGAGCACCAAGTAGAATTGAGCTCGAAACATCACAAGAGGTTGTTAATAGAGTTGAACCTGTACCGGAGAAACCAAATGCTAATGAATCGGGGACTGACCCCGCCATTATGAAGATGCTTGAAGAGCTCACTGAACGGATAGAATCAGGTGAAAAGAAAATCGAGGCTAATGAAAAAAAGGTAGAAACATACAACTCACAAGTGGACCAAATACCGGGGCACCCCCGATCATAAAGGGTTTGGATTCGAATAAGTTCGTGCAGAAGCCTTTCCCTCAAAGTGCGGCTCCGAAGCCCATTCCTAAGAAATTCCGTGTCCCAGACATCCCCACATACAATGGGACCACCGATCCTAATGAGTAGGTTACTTCGTACACATAAGGGAAATGACTTCGAAGATGATGAAATTGAATCCGTTCTATTGACGAAATTTGGAGAAACTTTATTGAAAGGTGCCATAATATGGTATCATAACTTACCACCCAACTCTATTGATTCGTTTGCTATGCTCGCAGATTCTTTTGTAAAAGCCCACGCCAGAGCCATTAAAGTTGCAACGAGGAAATCGGACCTCTTCAAAGTAAGACAAAAGGATAACAAGATGCTCAGGGAATTCGTATCTCGGTTCCAAACGGAACGAATGGATTTGCCTCCAGTCATCGACGACTGGGCTGTTCAAGCTTTTACACAAGGTCTCAACACTCGGAGCTCCATAGCTTTGCAACAGTTAAAGCAAAATTTAATCGAATATCTAGCTATCACTTGGGCCGATAATGGGTATCAGTTGAAGATTAGGGTCGAAGATGATCAATTGGGAACTCTAGTTGGTTTGATTTATCCCAACAGGTCCGTGGACAGAGTTAAAAGGGATGTCGATCAGGAACCACGATCAAATAGAGACAGGTACCGGCCATACAGTGGAGATCGGAGAAATAACAGGCCCGGACGCAACCCCATACGAAATGATAGAAGAAATGATCGGGGACAGAGTTCCCGAGGACTTATGAGCAAGAGTGGTTTCGGTAGGGATGACGGATCCAGGGAAGCACCTCGGTTGTCAGAATACAACTTCAGCATCGATGCATCGGGTATTGTATCAGCCATCGGTCGGATTAAGGACACTAGATGGCCCAGACCCTTACAGACTAATCTAGCTCAAAGGAATCCAAATCAAGTGTGCAAATATCTCGGAACCCATGGTCAACAAAACCGAAAACTGCAGACAATTAAAGGAGGAGGAAGCTCGTTTATTCAACGAAGGTCATCTTCGAGAGTTCTTGAGTGACCAAGCTAAAAATCACTTCAGAGACAGGGATGCAAATAGGAAAAACAAACAGGAGGAACCGTAGCACGTGATTCATATGATCGTTGGTGGGGTCGATATTCCTCAGGGCCCGACATTCAAACGCACCGTTACAACCAGAAGGGAGAAGCGTACCCGGGACTACTTACTAGAAGATACCTTGTCTTTCAACGATGAGGATGCAGAAGGGATCGAACAGCCTCACAATGACGCACTGGTAATATCTATCCTTATGAATAAAATTCAAGTTAAACGTGTGTTGGTTGATCCAGGTAGTTCGACAAATATTATTCGATCGAGGGTCATAGAGCAACTCAGCCTCCAGGATCAAATCGTGCCTGCGGCTCGAGTACTCAACGATTTCAACATGGCGAGTGAAACCACCAAGGGGGAAATCATTTTGCTAGTAAACGTGGCCGGAACTATCCAGGAAATGAAGTTCCATGTAATCAATGGTGATATGAGATATAATGCACTGCTCGGAAGACCTTGGATTCATAATATGAGGGCAGTACCTTCAACGCTTCATCAAGTCTTGAAATTCCCAACACTGGGAGGAATCAAAATGGTGTATGGCAAACAACCCGCAACCAAAGAAATGTTTGCAATTGATGAGGTAATACCAGTATCGGCGCTATCATCAATGGAGGGACCGAAATCGAAAGGAAAGCAAGAAGTCAAATAGCAACCACAGTCACTGGCTCGACCAGATCGGAGCAGCAAGAAACTTTCGAGGATGATGATTATATGATACCTCGAACCTTCGTAATCCCCAATGATTCTGATGCCACTAGTTCAACGGTTGAAGAGCTGGAACAAGTCATATTGATCGAGCATCTGCCCGATCGGAAGGTATACCTGGGCACGGGGTTAACTCCCGAGCTTAGGGAAGACTCATTAAATTCCTTATTAAAAATATGGATTGTTTTGCTTGGTCCCACCTTGACATGACAGGGATCCCACCGGAGATTACCACTCATCGATTGAGCTTGGACCCAAAGTTCAGACCGGTAAAGCAAAAGAGAAGGCCACAGTCCGAGGTTAAGCATGCATTCATCAAGGATGAGGTAACCAAACTTCTCAAAATAGGGTCCATTCGGGAAGTAATATATCCTGAATGGCTAGCAAACGTAGTCGTAGTCCCTAAAAAGGGGAATAAAATCAGAATGTGCATAGACAATAAATACTTAAACAAATCATGCCCTAAAGATTACTTGCCTTTGCCGAATATCGATCGCATGATCGATGCCACGTCCGGCCACGAGACCCTCAGCTTTCTCGATGCATACTCCGGGTACAATCAAATACAAATGAACCCGGAGGATCAGTAAAAGACTTCGTTCATTACTAAGTACGGTACTTATTGCTATAATGTAATGTCGTTTGGGTTAAAAATGCTGGTGCTACTTATCAATGCCTAGCAAATCGAATGCTCGAAGAACATATAGGTAAATCAATGGAGGTTTATATTGATGACGTGTTAGTTAATTCCCTGCGCGTTGAGGACCATTTGATACATTTGCAGGAAACCTTCAACATATTGAAAAAATACAACATGAAGCTCAATCCTATGAAATGTGCATTCGGAGTCGTTTCGGGAAAGTTCCTCGGCTTTATGATGTCAAATTGGGGAATCGAGATCAACCCCGATAAAATCAAGGCAATCGAAGACATCACAGTCGTGGACAGAGCTAAGGCCGCATAGCCACCGTAGGCCGTTTCATCTCGAGGTCTTCGGATCGAAGTCACAGGTTCTTCTCACTGCTCAAAAAGAAGAACAATTTCGCTTGGACCCCGGAATGCCAACAGGCGTTGGAAGAGTTAAGCGGTATCTTTTGAGCCCCTCATTGCTTCATACTCCGAAAGCGGACGAGCAACTCTATTTATATTTGGCAGTCTCGGAAGTTGCGGTAAGTGGTATCCTAGTTCGAGAATAGCAAGGTACGCAATTTCGTGTTTACTATGTTAGCCGAACTTTAGGTGAAGCGGAGATCCGGTACCCACACTTAGAAAATCGTATTTTCTATGTCACCCAATTTGTGTTGTAACCACTTACCCCTTTTACAACTTTTTGCACAAGCCCGAACTCTCGGGCTGATTGGCCAAACGGGCCGTGGAGATTAGCGGGTACGATATTGATATCAACCCCGAACAACCATCAAGTCTCAAATCTTGGCAGACTTCGTGGCCTACTTCACGCCAGCCCTCGTACCCGAGGCCGAAAAGGAAGTATTTTTAAAATCGGGTACATCCTCAGGGGTGTGGACCCTCTTCACGAACGGCGCTTCGAATGTGAAGGGGTCGGGGCTAGGCATCATTTTTGATCCACCCACAAGCAATACGATTAGACAATCTATCAAAACCCCTAAGTTGACTAACAATGAGGTCGAGTATGAGGCCATGATTGCATGTCTCGAACTAGCTAAAGACTTGGGAGCAGAAGTCATTGAGTCCAAATATGACTCCCTAGTTGTGGTTAATCATGTCAACAGGACCTTCGAGGTTCGAGAAGATCGAATGCAGAGGTACTTGGACAAACTACAGGTAACCCTGCACCAGTTTAAAGAATGGACCCTACAGCATGCCCTCACAAATTTGGGGTCATCGATCGAAGATGACGAAATTAGCTCGGGGACTGTCGTGCAACTTTTGAAGCCGGTAATCGAATAAGGCCACGCCGAAATAAACTCCTCAAGCCTAACTTGGGATTGGAGGAATAAATACATCGAGTATCTAAAAACGGGAAGCTTCCATCGGACCCTAAGGAATCAAGGACTCTACGCAAAGGCTGCATGATTCGCATTGGCCAAAGATGGCACGTTATACAGAAGGATGTTCGCTAGACCATTGGCAGTATTGTTTTGGTTC